ATTGCAGAAGAGTGGGAACGTATTCCTCAAAACGTTATTAAAAACATCGTGGAAAGCATGCCCAGAAGGATTCAAGCTGTGATTTTGACAAGAGGAGGTCACACTCGTTATTAGGTTTTTACATTTGTAACTTTATTTAATTAAAAAAAGTAAAAAAAAATCTTGTCTTTATTGCCGACCACTTCTTATTGTTTGGGCGTGTACATCGGTTTTAAAGAATCCATCGTTTTTTTTCTTTTAATTGCCCGAATTCACTTCACACGCATTAATTTACACGATTATTAAGTCAAAGTTCCGATAGTAAGACTAAGTCAAAGAAATAAATTTCATTTAATTAACTCAAATCGACTTTAGAACGTAAATTTCCTTAGGTGCCCGTTTTTTTTGCAAAAGAGTGTAGTTAACATAAAAAAAAAACAAAAAACGATTTATTCAAAAATAATTTAACAACGTTGTAACGTTCCGTAACACCTAAACCTCGAAACGCTCTGCGTAACTATTTATTTGTGCGTAGGGAATATTTCTGGGTCAGTTTGTAGACGATTTGCACAATCATATTTATCTCTTTGCTTACCTTTAATAATTTCTAAAAATATATAGGTACAGCATGCATACATATGTATAATCCATATAATTATAACTTATAAAGGACAATGGGCGGTTTCGTCCTATGTGTAGTAACACTTTTCTACCTATATCATATGAAAGATCTGAATAAGTGTAATTTTTTTTCGTATGTGCATAACTCTGTATTTCGTGCAGGGAAAACGTTATAGTGGTTTCATTTACTGAATTAAATATTAAATACAACTTAATTAATTAATCTTTTAATGACAAAAAGACTTAAGTCATTAATAAAATCTAGTTTATAATACAACATGGTAATGAGTGACCATTGAGTTCGTGGTAAGGTCCAGGTAGTACGCTTGTTCTGCCCCTCTACCTGTCTAGAAGATTGGTATAACAATAGGGTCGTTTGTTTTTTCATTGACATGATTTTATTCTCGACGGTACAGATAGGTGGAAATGAAATTCCACTCATCGCAACCAGTGACGATGTGGTAGGGAAGAGAGGAAAAAAGAATCCACTTGTAGAAACTAGACTAGAGAGGAATAGGCGGCTTGTTGTACATTAGGTAAACTTTCAACATTTATGCATGACAAATAACGTTGTGTTCACGTTGTAAATTTTTAACCGCAATCAAGAATATTTCATTAATTTCATTCATATTAAAGAAAATGTATGTGCTTTTCCACACTATCAATGTTATTTGTGTGGTATTTTCAGATATACGTACTATTGAATTTATTTAAAGATTTTTTGGTACATTGAATGTTCCGTTGGTGTTAGTAAACAACACGTAATGATCGTTAAAAAAGTAGATACATTTTCAGTATAATGACAACATGGTTGCATTCCAGCTTTTACGGTGGCGTTCGGCTCTCGTGCTGTTCCAATACGAAAGAAGCGGTTCCTGGCGAATCGTCCCTTCCTGGCAGCCATAAACATCGAGAACGTGCCTTATTTCTGTAGCATCTACCGCGGCCTTTAAAACTACCCAGATCGTTTACAGTATGTAAGAAAAAGGTACGATCATATTGCAATTGAGGTGATCGTACTCACGATAACCAACAAGTTTAGAAAAAAGCACATGAAGAAATCTCGATTGCATTGGTCTGTGATTGCAGCAATCGGTGATAGTCCTCCATACAAAACGTGTGCTGTCAATCAAGAATTTGAGTTGAGAATTAAATTTAAAAAAAAACTTAAATTTAAAAAACATTTTTATCCCGGTTTTTTTATTTTACCTTATTTTTTTTTCTTAATTTGAAGCAAAAGATTCTCTAGCGAGACCCGCACCGTCAAACCAAGACTTTCGAGGAGGTCGCGGTTGCATCGTCCTGTACTAAATGCTTCTTGCTAGTGAAATTTCCTCGTAGACTTTATCCCAAATATTTAGATATATCTCTAGCTAGAGGAATAAGTTCAGTAGCAGTCGGTTGACAAAACATGCTCACACCACCAAATATAGCATCGTTAGGAAGTTTATCCCCCTCCTCGTTAACTACGTGTATTGGAATCCATTGCATAATGATCGTTCGATTTTTTATACTCACTTCGTATAGCGGTTTCAGGGCTTTATATGCTGTTGGTATACCTTTAGTCTCTAATTTACATTTGACCAATCGTTGGAGCGCACTTCTAGAGTCTGTGGCAATTGTTATCGTATCGATGGCATAAGGTACTCGCCAGTTATTACTCAGGGTTAGAGTGCCCCAGACGTACAATAAAGTATTTTTTTCAATTATTAATACAAAGATCGAACACTCAGAAAAAATTCCTACGATCCGACTGGATTCGAACCGACGACGTCTTCTAGCATACCGTGTCAGACTCTGTACCAACTAAGCCACGAAACGAACCAGCGGACCCATTGACTTACAATTATATGGACGTCGGGTCCGCGCTAAAAAGTGCCCGAACTTATAGGGCGTTAAAATCGTAAACAGAGCGTCATTCACGCTCTAGTCTTCGTTTGTTCGACTGACAGCGAAGCAAGCAAAATTAGACAGTACTGCGATGACATTACAATTTAAATTCAACATTTTAGCTTTTTCATATTCCTTGACATGTCACTACGTTTAAATAGGTTGACTTGGGGCATTTTTTTCGTGGTTTTTGTATTAGACCCGTCGTCCATTTATTTGTAAGTCAATGAGCGGACCTCACGAATTTTCTAAGTGTTTGTTGTTGTGTCTTTGTGTTTGGTTTTTCAACGACTTTTTATCCGTAGCGCTATCTATGAGAAATCTATGAAAGTGTTTCGTCACCCAGTTAGATACCTTTACAGCTACCAGCCCCGGAGAGATGTCGCTATTCATTGTATTTAAATTTATATTGAATTGATATTCAATTATTTTTTTATGTGAAATTACTCCACTAGTTTGTTATAACTATTAATACAAAGATCGAACACTCAGAAAAAGTCCTTCGATGCGGCTGGATTCGAACCGATGTATCTAGCATACCGTGCCAGACGCTGTACCGGTTAAACCACGGAACGAACTAGCGGACTTCACGAATTTTTCTCTGTGTTTGTTGTTGTATCTTTGTGTTTGGTTTTTCAACGACTTTTTAGCCGTAGCGCCATCTATGAGAAATCTAGGAAAGTATTTCGTCACCCAGTTAGATACCTTTACAGATAGCAGCTTTTTTCTGCGTGTTTCATCTTTGTATTAATAATTATAACAAACTAGTGGAGTAATTTCACATAAAAAAATAATTGAATATCAATTCAATATATGTACTTATAAATATTTTTTTCAAATACAGACTGGTTGCAGAAAATGATGAGAACTAAGGACTAAAAGTAAATCTTTTTCTATTACATTGGCGCCGTTGCCCCAAACTGTCACAACGTAATTTATTATCGAATGAATCATCAATCAATCACGGAGTAACTTTTTTAAATTGCTTATTTTTGCAGACGGGACCGCCATTTGCATGGCAATAGCACGTCATGACACAATTTTGCTATGAAAGAAAAGGTAATAATAATAATAATAATAATAATAATAATAATAATAATAATAATCATTTATTTCCAATCACAATGGTATTGATCTTATAAAAGATACATACAAAAGTTGAAATGACAACGTGTTTGACCATTGTGAGAGAGCGGAATCTGTAGGATGATACCCTGTGTTACAGTATTCCGACCCCCCACTCACGTTAATAACTACATAAACAGATAAAAAGAAAAGAAAAGTAATAAAAAGAAAAGAAAAGAAAACAAAAAAAAGATAATAAAAAAAATAATAAAAAGAAAAGAAAAGATAACAAAAGTTAGAAAGCTAAATCAGTACAATACTTATTTGCACGTACATGGCACACAAATTGTGTGAGGCTTTGTGTGTTTGAGTGTGGGTGTGTGTTTTGTGTGTGAGTGTGTATGTGTGTGTGCGTGTGTGTGTGTGTGTGTGCGTGCGTGCGTGCGTGCGTGCGTGTGTGTGTGCGTGTGTGTGTGTGTGTGTGTGTGTGTGTGTGTGTGTGAGTGTGTGTGTGTGTGAGAGAGAGAGAGAGAGAGTGAATGAGTGAGTGAGTGTGTATGTGTAAAAATAATTCGGTGTAAAAATAGTAACAGTAAGGAATATTTTATTTTATTTTATTTTCAATTATTCGGTTATAAATTATTGTATGTTGTCGAGTTCTTAGGTTTACGTGATTGTTACACATAGGAAATGAAACTATTTTTCCGGTTTTAAATCTCATATATTTGTTTTTTTCAAAGGTGAACGGATTTCGAATGGGGAACGTAAACTGCATGGAAAATGAGTTGTTTTTGTGAGGTCATAGTACGAATTTGACTGGCAATCCAACTTACAGGCTTAAATAGGATTGCTCTAAGAGCTCATAGTAGGCCCCCCTGAACGTTCGTTCACTCCAAGTGGCGCCACCTGGCGACAGTCGAATATATGTACCCTTTTCAATTTGTCGCTACGTCCCCTTTGAATCTGCATTCTTACCGGATACCACAGTATTCTACACTTAGGCACATAGCTGTAAATCTTAGTAATTGACTGACTGGAGCCAGCCGTGACCATGGGATTCGTAAGGACCTCGAGACTGATTGGTTTGAAAACCAAATACCTAATATCTGTGTGATTTTGTTTCATTTCCATTGTGTAGCAACGCGAAGAGTTGAGTTTTCATGTTAGTAATGGAAATAAATATTAATGATTGTTATTTAACGCAAATCTTCGAACACTAGGCTATTTGATTTATATAATATTATTATATAGTTTTTAGCTAATGAACCGTCAAGAAAAATAAGTAAGTACAAAATGAAATTCTAATTCGATCTGCTATTGATTTAATCATCCATTAATTCAATTTCAAAGAGCCATTACGAAGTGTAACTAAAAAGGTTGAACTTAATCGCTCCTCGATTGCATACAGTTAGATAAGAATTTGCAATGTATTCAGACGTGGTGCCACTCAAGTCATACAATAATAATTTTTAGTGAACAAATTTCCAATATTATTTCACTCTTTTTAATATTATTTATTCATTTAGTGCAACTCTGGTCGACGCTTGGAAAAGTTTGGATAAGTGTTTGAATACGTGACAAAATAACGGACTATCGAAACATGACGCGCAACATATGTAATCATTTATGTGTGTTCACATTATTCGCTATATTATATGTAAGCGCTCATACGTCATTATTTAAAAGATATGTGTCAATTCTTACACCTCTACCTCTACGCCCACCTATAACTTCATTTAGTCACCTTTGTTTAAGTGGAAAGTGTTCACATAATTCAGATTTAGTTAATTTAAATGCTTACACGACAATTTTGCGTAGAGATCCACGGGTAGCCCAGGATAATTCAATGAAGTCCACAGAGAGGGCAGACTCCACCAACTGGCGACAAATAGAATTTATAACACATGAATTCAATAAAGGTGTAAGAACCGCTCCGCGTAGATTAAACACTCCGCCTAGGCCAGCGAAAAGTGTAGCAGATTTTATGGAAACTCATGCACCTGTAGCACCAAATAAGACATTAGAAAAGGATGTACGAATACATATACAATCAGAATTTAGCAAGACGCTTGATAAATTTGAACGGACATTTTATATGGTAAGCTATGGTATACTCCAATGTCCTTCCAGTACCTTCAAATGAGAAGCTTATAGAAGCGTAGCGTAGATACACGACTATGGCGCGACAGCCGCGCGTCTGTAGCACTTCAGTAATTGTTTTTAGTTCAGTAATTGTGGCTGCAAAAGTGCCGTGCGCGTGTCACGACAGTGATGTTGCAACTGCTCTGCGTCTATAAGCATCTAATTTGAAAGCGCCCTAAAAGAGTAATTCGATCCCTTTAAAATCGCAGAAAAAATTCAGCAGTTCAATATATATTTTGGAGCTATTAAAAATATTTAGTCCGTATTTATGACTTTTATGATGTTTGAATAAAATAATCTTCATCTTCAATAAAACTTTATTCTTCATCACCATTAGACGGACGATGACGTATTATGGCGTTGTTATTTTCATCATACTTCAAACATTCAGGGAAGCCACCGCGAGGAATTTCAATAGCACCCTCCAGGTATTTGGGCACTGATAATAAATAAAATATGCCTCACACAAAAAATAAACAGCTTTCAATTTAGGTACTCACTAATTAAATCAGACTACGTTCTCAGCAAATGCATATACGCAGAAGTTACCACTTTCTATTACCAGTTTTAAATTTTATTATTTTATTTAAATCATTTATTTATATTCTTCTTCTGAAAGGCTTATATGCTGCGCAAATCAGCATTGTGTCAAAAGTCTGCTTAAAAATTGTACTTAACATCATTTTTAAGCAACGTTCAATATTGTAGTTTAAGAAAGTGATTGTTTGAGGTAAGAGTTTATGGTGTGTTGTACACTATAAGTTTCCGGAACTGGTCACTTACATAAACAATATTTAAAAAGTAATTACAACATTTCTAAATGGAACTTTTTGGCTGTAGAATACAGTTTGTTTCATCTGACTGTCACTTATCTTTACATTTTAGAAATTGGTTGTCTACATCACCATGGATTTAACTCGTGAAAATTTTCGTAGTATGGTTTTTTACGACTTTAAGCACCTTGTAAGACGACTACTTATAGCTTTGCAGAATTCAAACGCGGTCGTATGAATCTCAGTGACGAATTTCTTGATGGGCGGCCGTCCACTGCTGTGAATAACAAAAACATCGATGCTGTGCGCCGTATGATCAAAGCAGACAGGCATATAACATACCATGAAATTCGGGCATCTTTAAACATAGGCATGAGTCAAATACAATCTATACTACACAAACATTTGGGTGTGAAAAAGCTGTGCTCTCTGCGGATCCCACACAATTTGACGGATGCTCAAAAAACGGATCGCGTCAGTTGGTGCAACGCCATGCTTACCAGATTCAACGAAGGGGCGTCAAATTTGGTGTGGGACATAGTAACAGGTGACGAAACATGGATTTATAGTTACGATCCCAAAACAAAGCAGCAATCGAGCGTATGGGTTTTCCAGCCAAAGTGGCGCGCGTACAAAGTGCTTCTAAGCGGATGATTTCTTCTTTTTTTAATAAAACTGGATACGTGGCTACTTTTGCTTTGGAGAATCGTGGTACCGTGAATAGTCATTGGTACACGACCATTTGTTTGCTGGAAGTTATTGACAAACTCCGTAAAAATAACCGTAAACGCCGTATTTTTTTTTATTCTAATATAAGTGTGCATTTGACCTCTATCTCACCTGATGGAAAGTGAGGATGAGGTCGACGATGGAGCATGTACACCTAGATAATGCCTATTCATTCTCGCCTTGAAAAGGTACAGGTCCAAGTTATAACGTTCAGGGAACAAGTCCGCAGGCAGGGAATTTCACTCCATAGCCGTTCGCCATATAAATGTGGAAGTGTAACGCTTCGTGCGAATCTTTGGAATATCCACAACATAGGGGTGGAAGCCAAGCCTACGCCTAGTCCCCCGATGATGGAAAAGGGGAAGGCGGAAGTAAATCGTGTAATTCCATCGCACACTCTCCGTGATATATCCTCTAAAATACTGATAAGCAGGCAACTTTACGGCGGTGTTCAAGGCTCTGCAGCTTCGCCTCTTCTAATTCCGAGTCACCTATAAGCCTCTTGACACGCTTGTCTATTGAATTCAAGGTGGCCACTTTATATGTAGCAAAGCCATCCCAAAGGTGGCAACAGTACTCCATACACGACCGGACTTGTGCTTGATACAGCTGACGCAACTGTCCCGGTGTGAAGTAACGCCTCACCCAGGAAATGATGGCAAGCTTCCTGGCTGCATTTTTGGCCATGGATTCAATGTATCTGCCGAAGTTCAGATTGGACGACAGGTACATTCCAAGTAGCTGGAGATGGTCGGCTATCGGTATGGATATATCACTAAAAGTCGGAGCCAGCTCAAAGGGACTCCGTTATGGGGAGAATAGACATGCTTGCGTTTTGGTAGCGTTAAATTTGACAAGATTGGCATCGCCCCAATCGGAGATTGCCTTGAGCGTCCTATCTACAACTGTGCTATCATCAGCATACGCAAAGGTACCTGGAATTAACATATCATTGATATGCAGCAGAAAGACCGTTGCAGACAGTACGGAACCCTGAGAATCCCTATCGCCATATGTTCGGACGATTAGCCTTCTAAGACCACTCGAATGGAATGTTCACTCAAGAAATCCGAGATCCAATTGCAAAGGTCAGTGGGACGCCTACAACATGGAAGCTTGCTTAAAATGCTTGCATGCCAGACCCTGTCAAAGGCTTTAGAAATGTCCAAAGACACAGCAAGTGCTTCGCCTTGCTTTTCTATAGCCTCGCTCCATTAGTGACAGGCATACACAAGAAGATCCCCAGTAGATCGCCCTCGTCGGAATCCATACTGGCGATCACTGAGGAGGTCATTGTCTTCAAAGTATGACAGGAGACGGTTGTTGAGTACACGTTCCATAGTCTTGCAGAGTATGGAAGTGACTGAGATAGGTCTATAGTTGATCAACATTGAGTATCATCTTGCACCACGATAATGCCAGTTCTCACACGGCCAGACAGACAAATGAATTTTTGTAGGTGAACAACGTTGACCTTATCAGCCATCCCGCGTACATTCCCGACCTGGCAGCTTGTGGCTTTTGTGTATTTCCAAAAATTAAGAAAATGTTACGCGGTCAACGATTTTCATCACCTCAAGAGGCTGTCGAAGAGTATGAAAAATATGTTTCAGAGATTGTTACGAAGGAGTGACATAAATGTTTTCAAAATTGGTTCATTCGCATGAAAAAGTGCATTAATGCTAACGGAGAATATTTTCAGAAACAATAAATTCATTTCTCACCATTTATAGTATTTTTTTCTTATTCATTCCGGAAACTTATAGTGCGCCTCACGTGTATAGTGTGCATTGGCTATTTGTACGATTCTATTATCACCTTTTTTGTGTTATTACAAGATAAATTAAAATAGGCATTACAATAATCCGACAACTTTCACACCAGTGTTAGTACCTCACACTTTTTAGCTATATTCAAATCAAATGTTCCCCTCTCTTTTTTGATTAGCATATTGCCAAATTCTTTTACGTAACGAATTTAGCCGTAATTAATTAATAAATGTATAGAGGTTATAATTAATTTAATTGGTTAATTGAGATTATAAAGATTTCAATTATTTAATAGAGGTTATAGTGAATTTCATTAGTTAATTAAATCCCTGTAGTGACCAACTGCCAAATGCGAAGGTCTCTTTGAATTCTTCCACCTAATGCAAAGATCTAGTAAGTAACCGTCACATAATATAGAATCGATTTCGACGCACTTTAGTGAGCAGAAAAGTGAACTAAAGTGCGGTTTTACAAACGCTTATCCGCAAAAATGGCAGACTTTTTAGTTTTAGAAATTTCCGGTTGGTTAAGTGCTCCAAGTCGTAAAATAGTAGCGCTGCCGGCTTGGATCTGTATTTTTTTATTGACGGTTATCCGTTTGGCGCGAATCCAAGAAAGAGTCTTTTCTATTCATGTTATGGCAAGGAAGGAGGTTTCCCGCGTTACAGTATCTATTTGACTTAATAGACGTTATATAGGAGATTTAATTCATTAATATAAATTCCATAATACGTTTACGTACCTATTGATTTTATTTTTTATAAAATCAATAATTAGCCATACTATCAATAATGTTGTTAGTATTTTAAACATCACAGTAACTTAATAACAAATTAATTTGTAATTCCGTGGTCACAGTACAGGTCGAGGACGATGGTTCATGATTATGCGTGATTATTACCTATAGACAAACTTTCATCTTATTTTGAAAGAAAGAAACATTTATTCGGTTATTCACAAATAATATTAGAACATAATAACAAACACAACATCTGTTAAAAAACAAAAATAAAGAAGATAACTAATAGATAAAAACTAAAGTACACAATATTAGCCGAAAAGGTTAGCCAGCTCCGCTTTAAGCTGGGCAGTGCCTCAGCGCTGCTGGAGCTTTTCAGCTGGAGCCTAGGAAGAGGTAGATGGTTTCAAATACTTAACATACAATATTGAGTTCTTAGGTTTTCGCGATTGTTACACATTGGAAATGAAACTATTTTTCCGGAATTAAAATCAGTATGTTCAAATCGCGCATTAATATTACATATAATATTTATTATTTAAAACGCGATTTAAACCCGGAAAAATTTCTTTTCCGGTTTCATTCTCTACTAACATACAAATGCCAAGTATTTAACTTTAAAGGTTTAATTTAAAGGCTTGAAAGGCAGGGTATTCGAGCATCGATAATAAATGTAAAATACAACGTATAAAATGTTTTATTTGCCAAATGAAATATGTATGTATCTATATAATTAAAAAATGTACCTACTTAACTGTTAATTAACTGCTGCCATCGCCCAACCTATTTTTTTTCGTAAGGGACTCACCACATTTATTCACACGTAATCGCCTTGAGACGGGCAGAAAAACCTTTATGTCCATGTAATAAGAGCGAAAAAGACGTTGCGCGTTTCGCTTCCACACGGATCGCTAACGCAAAACGCACGTCATTTTCGCTCTTATTA